GGCTTGAAAGGTTAAAACTTTAGCCCGGTTTGTAGGCAGGTAATCCCTATCATGCTACGCAGATGGAATTAAGGGGCAATTGAGAGGGGAATTTATATGTAAATTGGGCCGAGTTGGGCCGTTGTGGGCCTCAGTGTGAAGGGTTGAGCAAAAAGGCCATAAAGTTACTCCGGCTTAAGAGAGGTATAAAGTTACTCCGGCTTAAGAGAGGTATAAAGTTACTCCGGCTTAAGGGAGGTGTAAAAGTTACTCCGGTTCGCGAGAAACCTGAAGTTACTCCGGTCCCAAAGAGCTTACAATAGTTCGGTCGTCACTCGCAAAAGTTATACCGGTTTGGACCGGAGTATTGGTTATTCCGGTCTAGACATACCGTGGTTAGCACTAAGAAGAGCCAAGGTAAGAGCAGTGAATGGAAGTGCCGAGTTGATGTTATCTCGGCCTAGTCTGCGGCTTAGCATAACCATGCTTACCTCGGTCATGTTGAAGTCTGACCATGGTAAAACCATTTCACTTGGTTTATGCAGTGAGGGGGGTGTTGAAGGATAAGCATTATCTTTCAGGAGTATGAATCCTAGGAGGACTCTACATGGAGGAGTAAAAGTCCTACTAGGATTGTGTCACGCGGAACCTATAAAAGCTCACAACATCACCTATGGAGAGGTAACACAACTTTGATTTCCAAATACGCAGAGCTTTTGTCTATTTGTCTAGTTCACTGACTTAGGCATCGGAGAGGTTTCCGGCATACACTCGCCGGCTAGCTCACGTTTGTGTTTTCAGGAAGTAAAGCGACGGCGTACGAAGGAGCGCAGACTTGATCAACAGGATTATACGAGAAGGTTTATTTCTTTCCCGTACAATATCATAACTAAATAAGAAAATCACATAATTAGGGGATGCATATAATACACCCCTTTCAAGGGTGTGTATATTAGAATTTCCCAATTTTCATATCAAATTATGAATTTCTCTTTTAAATAACACAAAAAAAAAAAAAAAAACCATCCAGACAATTGTTAAAGTACTCGGTCCATAAATCTAATTTTAGATTTCTTCGGTTTAAAAGTCCACCCACTGAATTACTATGTCCATAAGGACATGTTTCTGCAAAAGAACTAAACTACCCTTATATGATCCACGAGTACCTGTTTCTCCTATAATCAAACCCTTCTCTCTTTCTCCTCCATCTTTCTCTTTCTAGCTGTTTCATACCCACCATTCTCTTCCATTCTCATTCTTGAAACCCTAACCGCAAACCCTCTCTCTCCTCTCTCTCTCTCCCCCTCTTCCTCTCTCTTTTGTGTCTTCAATGGCATCTTTTCGCTTTTCTACCCTAATTTTAGAGCTTTTGCTCACGGTTTCGCTAATCTTTACCATAGCCTTCATCACTGCTTCTGTCACGACCCATATCGGTGCCTAGGGTTAGATTCACAACTAGTTAAATTTTAAAATTTCTAAGATTAGTTCGAATTAACTAATTAAATAATGCAACAAAATGAAATAAAAGATGTAGATAAATATCTGAAACATACATGGAAATTATTATTTACGTAACAGATAACAAATAAATACGAAAAAAAAAGGAAAAGAAACATGATGTTTATATCAAATTTGGGTCTTGATCAATGAGGTAAAACCATTATTCCTTAAGTTTCTTCACCTGCAAGGGTTTTAATAATTATAAGCACATGACAGAGTGAGAAATATTATATCAAGAGCATAAGAATATACAAATCGCCATGGATAATTATTTAAGTTAAATAATAAATAGTTTGGTTTGAATAAATGATTTTGAATAACAAACATATAATACAAACAATCATAACCATGATACAAAACATAATAGAGGATCAATGGATCCATGACAGATAGAGGATCATGAAGTGACTAATCAGGAGACCAATGGTTATTTAGGTCCCCCAAGGCATGAGATGGTCAGAGGGTCACTAAAGTGACAACTTAGAGGGTTAATGGTTATTTAAGTCCCCAAGGTATGAGACTGCCGCGGTGGTACTTATAAAAATAAATAGTTATATACTCATGGTCAAATAAATTTCAAAATTTAAATAATAATATCCATATATTTTAGGGGTACTTACATGTAGGTCCTAATAAGTGGACTTATTGTCTAATAGATGTTATTGGAAAGATTTATTATAAAAAAAATCACTAATTATAAATTTTAGCGACAATTTATAAAATCATGATAAAAAAAGTCACTAATTATTAATTTTTCGCGACGTATGTAAAAAATTGTCACAAAAAATTATTTTTAGCGATAATTTTACCAAGACTTATTTTCAATAGGATTTGATAAGAATTAACTCTAACTATTAGGACTCATTAGTAGTTTACCCTAAATCTTAATTTTAAATAAGTAAGGCTCATAAAATAAATAACATAATTAAATGTTAATATAATTAAAAACATGATTTACATAAAATAATTTATAAAATAATAAAATAATTTATGATTATTAAAAATATAATATAATTTATCTTAATATTGAGACTATTATTTTCTTCCTGTTTTCTCTGACTCCGTACTGTCTTGCTGGTTTGTTGGTGTTGTTTATTTATTTATTTCTTCTACTGCCTAATCACTGCTCCAGTCCCCCTTTTATGCTTAAGCCTAAGGAGGCGATTCATCCTTTAGGCACGAAGGTGAATCACCGTCCACTCATTAATCCTCCTACAGGTGGCTTATGCTGGGAATGCCACCATTGGGCTTACTTTCCCTTAATTTCATCCTAACCCTAAACATTTTGATAATTTCATGGTTTGTTTTGATTTGGTCTCAAACAATATATTAATGATATTGTTATGTTTTTATAGCAATAATGCCTTTAATTTTAAATAAAATTACATTTTAGTACGTATAATTATAAAATTAAATATTTTATTTTATTTTATTTTTATTAAATTAATTAAACAATTGGGAGCTTCGACGAAGTCCGACAGTTGGATTTCATGGGCTGTACACAGTTGGATTTGATGAAAAAATTGATTTAAGGAGTGGAGATGCTCTGAGAATGCTTTGTAGAAGAAGCTAAACTAAACTGATACAATTGTTTGGTGGAGAGGAAAGAATGTTTTCTTGCATCTTCCACGTTTTCTGATTCAAAATTTTGTAAGTTTCACGAAGAAAGCTTTTAGTCGGTTGATAGGTGGCAATCATGACTGTGGTTTGTGTAATTGAGTACCCTAATGAGAAGTCGATGGGTGTTTTATGAATTTTCAACTGATGGTTCTTGTGGAATTCATTGTGTGATTCTGTTAGTCAGAAAGTTTTAGTCAAGCAGTTGTATTGTCATTTTGATCTCGAAAGTGCAGTTAATAGGAATAACCAAAAGATATTGCTATAGTATCCCACAACACAAGTTCAGGTTTTGGAAGTAAGAACCTTGGGTTATTGTGTTGATTGTGTCTGAAACCGTGGTATGTTTAAATTGCTATAATTTCATGTTATAAATGATTTTCAATCAATCTATCACTCAATCACAGGCCGCTCTGTCATTGTCTTTGTTTCAGTGGGCAAAAGGATTGAAAGACTTTTGATACCCAAATTCATGCTCAGAACGTACAGATATTCAAATAAATATGCAAACTTCGGGAATAAGGGCCACTTGCATTGGGGTGTTTTCTAATTTCTGATAGAATTTCAGTTGTATTTTGCATGAATCTTGCCAATCCCCATTGAATGCCATGAAGCTTCCTTATACTAGTAATTTTTCTCTTCGAAATTTTTCTAGGCAGGAGTTGGAATCACAAAAGAGTAAGTGAGCTAACATCACTATGGCGTAGATAGCCTTAGTCACATGAAGTGATGATGTTTCTTGCACACAAAAATATGAAAAAAAGATGTACTTCTTTGTCTGCTTTGTGTGATTGTTGTATATGTGCAGCAGTAATTCTTTTATTCATATTACATCACTAGTGTATGCGTTTGATACAACAATATGGAGATCAAAATAGCCAGATTGTTATCAGCTGCATATATTTGAATTTGAATTTTTTTGGTTTTATTTAAGAATTTGATTTGACCTGGCATTGCCAAATATGTTTGAATAGCACACCAGCAAGTTCCTTTATGTCTATTCTACTTATACATTTGAAGAGGCATAAGGTTATTTTCTTTTCATTCAGTTCAAATTCATTACAGATCATCAGTATTCTTTATATTTTAAAGTTTTCAATGCTAAAATTTTCTCTGTTTGTAAACAGATGTAATAGTTTTGGCATGAAGGTGCGTGCTTCGTGGATGTGTACCAAAGAAACTACTTGTGTTCACATCCAAATATTCTCATGAATTTGAAGAGAGTTGTGGTTTTGGATGGAAATATGAAACTGGACCCAAGCATGATTGGAGCACCCTGATGGCTAATAAGAATGCTGAATTTCAGTGCCTTATTTTGTATCTACAAGAACATTCTGAAAAATGCTGGTGTCACTTTGATTGAAGGGCTTGGAAAGGTTGGATGTTGTTTGGCCCATAATAACATTTTAGCGTAGAATTTGTGGAAAAAATTCCATTGACATGTATTGACATTTCATTGTTTTTGTAACAATTGCATTGACTTGTATGACTGTATACACAGATTGTGGACCCACACACCACCGTGGATGTAGATGGGAAACTCTACTCGGTAAGGCACATACTAGTTGCAGTTGGGGGACGCCCTTCCATTCCTAAAATTCCCGGAAGTGAATATGCAATAGATTCAGATGCAGCCCTTGATTTGCCTTCAAGACCTGAAAAAATCGCAATAGTTGGGGGAGTTTACATTGCACTTGAGTTTGCTGGTATCTTTAATGGTTTGAGAAGTGACGTCCATGTATTCATACGACAGAAAAAGGTTTTGAGAGGTTTTGATGAGGAGATGAGGAATAACAAACAACATTAGTGTAGTTGGTTAGGCATACTTGGACAAAAGTTTCTCCTCATGCTACAAATCTTGCATTCTTTGATTGCCACAGGTCAGAGATTTTGTTGCAGAATAGATGTCTCTAGGAGGGATTGAATTTCACACAGAGGAGTCACCTCAGGCTATCCTTAAATCGGCAGATGGTTCACTATCTTTGAAAACTAACAAAGGAACAGTTGAAGGTTTTTCTCATATTATGTTTGCAACAGGCCACAAGCCTAATACGAAGGTTTGATTTTTTAATGTTGTGGTTGTCTTCTCTCTGCAAAGGCCTTGTGGTCATGGTTCCTCTCTGTCATCATTTTTTTCTTACTTCAAATTTTGACTCGGTGCTCAGAAATTAGTAACCTAATAAACTTGGAAAGTGATCTAGCATGGAGAAGTCGTACAATTTCTTAATAGAGCTTATATGAATTCTGTGCTGAAAATGTGTATACTTAACCAATTTTCGATGATTGATACATGGACTCCTATTCCATTGCAGAATTTGGGGTTGGAGAAGGTAGGGGTAAAAATGGCAAAGAATGGAGCGATAGAGATAGTGTCTTTGGTTTTCAGACTTCTCTTTTACTTTTATCACTTTATCTCTTTATCTCTCTCTAATTCTTCAACCTGGTGTGTTTCCTTGTATTGCTTTCTATTGAATGTTTCTTTAGGTTGTTGAGTTCTCCCCGTACATCAGTTCCATCCATTTGGGCTGTTGGAGATGTTACAGATAGGGTGAATTTAACTCCAGATGCTTTAATGGAGGGAGGGGCATTGGTGAAAACTCTTTTTAGGAATGAACCAACAAAACCGGATCATAGGCATTATACATATCCTGTGATAAATTGTATAATAGCCTTAAGCATGTGGAAAAATCTCTGAAGTGCTCCTAGGGGTGCATCGGTTAGTAGCTTATTGGGTTTGTGGGAGTTTAGGAGACCATTTAATGACCATTAGACTCAATGTTTTAAAAAGCGGCCGCAACCGTTACGTAACGCCGTTACGTAACGGTTTTGGCGGTTACCGCCGCTTTTGCAGTGTGATTGAGATTCACAGGTGTGTCGGCCGTAGCGGTCTTAACGGTGCCGTAATAACCGTAACGGCCTGTTACGCACTGTTACGTAACGGTTCCAAACTGTTTCTTTCCAAAAAACACACAAAAAAAAGCTGAAAATGGGGGAAGAGGGATAGAGAGAAGAGAGAAGATAAAGAGAGAAAATGGAGAAGCAAGAGATAGAAAGAGAGAAGAGGGAAGATGAAGAACATGTTATTGATTCGTTGAAGTTGTAAGACCTATGTTATTCTATTCAGCTGCTATCACTCAACCATTTTGTTTGTGTGTGTCTATCTATATATTGTTTGAAAATAATAATAATAATGAGTGTGGTCATTATCTATTTGGGTTGGTTAAAATATGTATATATATATTTAGGCTTTTATTTATTCTTTTATTTTTGTCATTGTTTATCTTATATATAATAGTTAGTGATTGATTTTTTGTATAATATAAAGTCATTAATTATTAAAATAAAATGAAAAAAACTCAGTTTATAGTAATTTAAAAATATGAAATATATTAGATCATACTTAAAAATTTATAAAAATTGATCAATATTTATTTTTAACCCAATAAATATGATCATGGAAAAAAAATATGCGTATCGGTAAGTTTTTTTCAAATTGTGCGAAAAATAAAAAAATTCACGATTTCGGTTACCGCAACTGTCACACTACGGCCTTTACACCCCGCAACCGCAACCGCGCCACCGCCACCGTTACGGCGACCGCAACCGCTTCCGCTTTTCAGAACCTTGACTGCTTCTATATATTAACACAGAACCGAAATAAGGCTCACAAAATGGACCAACATATATACTAGATTTTAGGGGAGAGAGAGAGAGAGAGCGCTCGGACCTAGGGCTTTGATGGCAAAGTACAAGGGATTCTGCGGCAACAACAAACACAGCAAAATCCTCCTGCCACCATGTAATCACCTTCGCATTCTTGTATGTGAGAGAGAGAGAGAGAGAGCCGACAGGTTAGAGACGAAAGAGTAAAGGGGAGAGGGTTTACAGCCTTCACGGTGTGTTGATTAACCGGTGTAGCCGGTTGCCTATTTTCCACCCTTAAACAATTGAATGGTTCAAATCAAATTTAAGTAATCCAAGGGTTTAGAATTAAGGTGCAAAGTTTCCATGTATATTTTGCAAGAAATTGAAAAACAACTTACCATGTTGCTATGGGTTATACACAAAATTTAACAATCTTACATTTTCCAACATTATCATTTATCATGCCAAACAAACAAGGAAAAAAAAATTCAAAATTTTTCCTT